CCCGAGTTAGTTCATCGGTAAGAAGAATACTCGGGCTGGTTCAGTCAACAGGAAGTTATGGGGAACCTCTGAGCCATCCATCTCCTGACCCCTCCGCCCCCGTCTAAGGCAGCGACCACCACCGCCTGCCCTAGCGCGGCTCTCGTGAAGCTCCGAACCTCAATGCAAAAGTTCCCTGTAAAAAGATTCCCCCGTGGATAAGCGAATGCTGTGCTTAGATAATGTCAACATTCTGACGAGCTCGTTTCGTGGCCGGTCATTTGTTTAATCCCGAGTGCAGAGCCTTATATTCTTTTTTTAAAAAATATTTTATTTATCTATTATGTATACAACACTCTGCTTCCGTGTATATCTGCACATCCGAAGAGGGCACCAGATCTCATTACAGACGGTTGTGAGCTATCATGTGGTTGCTGGGAGTTGAACTCAGGACCTCTGCAAGAGCAGTCGGTGCTCTTAACCTCTGTCTGAGCCATCTCTCCAGCTCCGAGCCTTATATTCTTATATATTTCTCCTGCGGGGATAATTTTGTCTGTGAGATGATTTTTGTGGTGTTTCTGAGACGTCTGTGAGATCGGCTTGGACCGTGGGCCTGGCTAGTGGGGAGTGAGGATGGTTTTGATTGCTTTAATTAAAGCAAGGAGACCTGCCCATCTGTGCAGCACCGTTCTGTTCCCCGAATTGGTAAACCTAGATTAGGTGTAGAGAGGAGGCTGGACGCAGGCATGCAGGTGTTCGTTTCTCTATGCTTATGATTGGACGCAGTGTCTTCTGTTCCTGTCTCACTTTTCCTGGCCTCCAATTCGAATAAACCTACCTCCTGTATAGCTGTTTTTCGTTAGGGTATTTCTGAGGAAGTATAGGAATGAAACTCCTTATGGCAATGTCCATGAAAAAAAATGGCTAAAATTTACAGAAGCCATAAAGGAAGTTAGTACAATTAGAGACTTCCCTGGGTCCTGGAACTGTGGACCAGGTCTTTGATGGACTGGGTCTTTATCCCGGTTTCAGCAGGTGTTGGGGCCTACATGCTAGGTTCTAAGGTCTCAGAATGACTAAATGACTTCTACTGTGATACTGTCTCAAGCCCTGTTACCAAGACCCTGTGTTTAAACAACAACAAAACCCCCAAAGTGTAAATGAAATGCTTGTTTTTGTTTTTGTTTTTGTTTTTGACTCTCCCAGCATCAGGACGATTTAGAACAATGGAAGGTAATGGATCCATCGACATGTTCTCAGAGGTCATAGAGAACCAGTTCCTCCAGGCTGCTAAGCTCGTGGAAAGTCACTTGGACTCTGAAATTCAGAAACTGGATCAAATCGGTGAAGATGAGCTGGAACTCCTCAAAGAAAAGAGGCTGGCGGCACTCAGGAAGGCCCACCAACAGAAACAAGTAACCCCTCTGGCCTGCTCCCTGAAATCGCCTTGGCACTGGCTCCTGACTGCAGTGTGCTGTCATGTGACCTTCCCTCCTCATTTTCAGGGTGTTCTGAATTGAACTCTCTGTCACTGTTGAATGTTTTCCCAGGAATAAAACTTGAGGGAAGACTTAGGCAAGATAAAACATGTAACCAAGGAGCTGGCATGTAAAGAGAGAGATTAAAACTTCTCTTTCAGACCAATCTTAGGGTCCACATATCAAATTGAAGACATACAGTAGTTCCATGGGAAAAGATATTTCTAAGTGTTTAAGCATGTGTGCATTCTTATTAAATTGTCTGTTTTGGAGGAGTGGAGGTGGCAGGCTAGAACTCACTGTGCAGCCATGACTGGCCTGCTTCTGCCTCCAGGAGTGCTGGAATTGAAGGCGTGTACCACCACGCCCAGTTCTGCATTGTCATTTATTTTCACGAAAACTCAGTGAGATGATTGTTTTATCATATCCAGTTGCAAAAGAGAAAATGAAGGCTCAGAAAGGTCATTAAGGTTCAGTAAATGGTGGGAAGGGTATTGAAAGGCATAGTGAGCGTCTAGTTGAGGTGACAAAGTCTCTGCCAAGGGAAAGGTGGAAGGGGCTGAAAGAGTTCTCAGGCTTGGTTAATAGGGGTGTGTGCCTTGGGTTTCGAAGTTGAATTATATGTGAGGTTTTCCTTGGTTCTGGACACCCCATGAGTAGAATACTTTTCCTTCTGAGGAGTTTGTTCACTGATGGCTAGTCTAGAAGCCCTTGCCTGTTTGAGATTGTTATCAGAAGGAGATCATTGGGTTCCTAAGCTGCTGAACTGCAGTAACCACACTGTACCCCCCAAATTGACAGGTTTATTTCATGGGGTGGTTTGTTTTTTGTTATTTTTAATTACTTCTTATTTTTGAGATTATAATACAGTTCCATCATTTCCCCCTCCTTCTCCCTCCCTCCAAACCATCCCTTTCAGATTCATGGCCTGTTTTCATCGATTGTTGTTACATCCATAAGTGTATATATGCATACGTATTTCTAAATATCGTTAGTTTGCTCAGTGTGTAGGATGTTACTCACATGTACATTTTAAAGGCTGACCATTTGGTACTGAATAACCAATTGGTGTGCTCTTCCCTAGAGAAGACTATTTCTCCATTCTCAGCATTCCGTAGTTTCCTGTAAGAACATTATTCTTTTTAAAGTATAGACCTGAGTGTGTGTGTGTCTCAGTGGAAGAGCTCTTGCTCTTGGTCCTAGGTTCAGTCCCTAGCATCACAGAAAGAAACAACAAAAAAAAAAAAAACCCTTAAGAAAACAAACAAAAAAACTGTTTTGTAATAATTTGGATCAAATGATCCTGATTTTAGTAGTTTAAAGAACACACACATAAAAGTTAAATGGGTATTTTTGTATTATGTTTCTCAAACCTAAATTCCTACTGTGAAACTTCTAATGAAGCAAGTAAATTACTAAGACAGGAAATGATATTAATTCAACCCATGCTAAGGAGAGCAGTCATAAATGCCCACAGAATAGTTTGCATTGACTGCCACTAGAATCATAGAAAAGTTAATTGCTGCAAGGAATGCTTTTTTCTATGAGATAGAATTAATTTCTTTAGGAAATAGTACAGTGATTAGGACACTTAAAATACCAAATATCACCAAAAGACATTTCAGCTGGGTCATATGCTTCTCTTGAAATTAGGAATGGCTTTCTAAAGGACATGGGGAGTACAGAGAAATTGCCAGTGAGAGAGACTTTTTTCAAGAAGTAAAGGAGAGTGAAAAAGTGGTTTGCCATTTCTACAGAGACACCACATTCAGGTAACTTTGCTTCCATCCTTGAAAGTCAGTATTCTTATGAGAATGGTGTATTGTTCCTCAACCGTGTTTCCGCCCTATAACTCTAATGACATCTTAGAATTCTTACCAAAACACTAATTTGATTGCTTTCTCACTGTGCTGTGTTTTCTGGGAATTGGAGGGCAACAGCTTTCATAATTGGTGTTTATCCATTCACTCTGTCCTCTTGATAAGGAGATATTGAGTGACTTGACCACTTCATTGGAACTGCCAGGCTTGGCTGGGATCAAAGTTCCTTAGTGAATCTAAGGAACCCCTTAGGGAAAGTAGCACACATGAGCCCCCAAGTTATATTTTTGAGGGGAGCTTTTTTTTTTTTTAAGATCTATTTATTATGCATACAGTATTCTGCCTGCATGCTGGCCAGAAGAGGGCACCAGATCTCATTATAAATGGTTTTAAGCCACCATGTGGTTGCTGGGAATTGAACTCAGAACCTTTGGAAGAACAGTCAGTGCTCTTAACCTCTGAGCCATCTCTCCTGCCCGAGGGGGAGCTTTTTATGTGCTAGGCAGCTCTTCTACAACTGAGCTATAGTCCTAGCCCAAGAGGTTATGTTTTGAAACAGAGGACTCAATTTTGGGAGTTGTGTATATGTGTATGTGTGTTGTTGGGTTTTTTCCCCCCACTTCAACCTTTAAAAATTAGCTGTTTAAGAATTAGCCAGATTTCAGAAGTTTTAAAAATTAGAAAAGCTGATAACAGACCTATCCTTCCATAGATGGACATGCACAGTAACTTGACTCCCATACAACACCTTCAGAGGTTGAGTGGCTCAGATGCATTCGCTAAGATAGTGGGAGCAAATACGGAGAAGAATTAGGAAGGCAGAAGAGCATTAAACACTTTCCTTAAGCCCCAGCCTGCAGCAGTTATTGTCAGGTGGTCACTGACAGCAGCAGATGAGGCTGATGCTGTTTTCACTTGTCATACGAGTTTCTCTATTCCATGGTTGACTTTACACAAGCAGAGCATTTACCTGTCACTAGCTCTGGAGCAGAAATGCTGACACATAAAATGGAAGCCAAGTAAATGTATCTCGAGGATAAGAAACTGAACAACTGGAATGCTCATCTCTAGTCAGAACTGGGAAAACAATATTCACACCACCCTGTTAACTTTTGTAAACAACGCCCAGAGTCCTAGGAGATAGTAAATTTGTTACATCCTTGATTATACATTTTTTTTAATCAAACGTTTATAGTAGCCCTTTGAGGTATGACTTCTAATTATCTGTTTCTTGTATGGAAAGATGAAGTGACTCAGCTACTAAATAATAGAAGAGATTTGAATCCATGTTATGTTGTAAACCTGAGACTAACATTACTAACATACAAGCTTCTGTATTTTATTTTTAGATTTATTTATTCTGCTTTATGTGTACAAATGTGTCTTGCCAGCATGTATATTATTTGCAACATATGTGTGCCTGCTGCCCACAGAGATCAGAAGATCAAATCAGATCCCCTGGAACTAAAATCACAGATGGTTGTGACCCACTACCATGTAGATGCTGGCAGCAAAACCTGGGTCCTTTGCAGCCAGTGCTCTTAACTGCTGAGCCATCTCTCCAGCCCTGCTTCTGGATTTTTAAATGTTTTAAGGGTTTTTTTGGTTTGGGGTTTTTTTGTGGATGTTTTTATTTTTTATTTATTTGTTTTGTGGAGGCTCTTTTTTGTGATGGTGTTTTTTGTGGTGTTAAAGAGCGAATCCTGAGCTTCATGCGTGTCACAATCTTTATTTTTTAAGACAGGGTCTTGCTGTATAGCTCTGGCTGGCAAGGAACTCCAATAAATTCACCTGCTTCTGCCTCCCAAGTGTTGTAATTAAGGGTGTGCTAGTTTTAAAGAATAGGTTTGTAGTTTTTTGTTTGTTTTTTTTTTTTTACTCTTTATTCTTTGGGAGACCCACCATTCACTTCCCAAATCATGACACAGGGGCTTATTATTTCTTACAAATGCCTGGCCTTAGCTTGGCTTATTTCTAGCCACTTTTTGACTTAAGTTGTCCCGTCTACCTTTTTCCTTTTCTTACTTCAGTAATCTTACTTTCATTCTTACTCCATGGGTGGCTGGCCTCTTCTTTTCTCACCCCTTCATCTCTCTTGCTTCTTTTTCCCTCATCTCTCTTGCTTCTTTTTCCCTCTAATGTTCTCCTTTTATTTATTCTGTCAGCCTGCCAGCCTCACCTATTTCTCTCTTCTGCCTTTCAACTCTTTATTAGACCAATCAGGTGTTTCAAACAGGCACAGTAACAGCCTCACAGAGTTGAGCAAATGCAACATAAAAGAATGTAACACATCTTTGCATCATTAAACAAATGTTCCACAGCATAACCAGATGTAATACATCTTAAAATTAGTATTCTACAACCTGGGTTGATCCCAGGCATGGTCGTCAACACCTGTAATTTCATTGCTTTTGAGATTGAGGCAAGAAGGAGCACAATTTTGAGGCCAGCTGGGATTGCATAGTAAGATTCCCCACCCCCACCGCCCCCAGACTGGGTTTCTGTGTGTAGCTTTGGAGCCTATCCTGGCACTCACTCTGGAGACCAGGCTGACCTCAAACTCACAGAGATTACAAAAAATTGTAACGCTCCTTAGTATTGAATTCATCAACTGGAATTTTATGGAATCGTTTCCATAAACCAGGATACTCCTGTTTTTCTTTAAGAACACCTGGAAGATTAGAGATTTGATACAGAAGTACTTAGATTAGATTTGAAGAAGTGATATTAAACAGACCGACAGAAGAGAGTGAGAATGAACTCAGAGTGAGAATGAACTCAGAGTCTTTCCTGACTTTGTTCATTGGCCAGCACTTGTTTCTTAGAGCGAGGGCCATTCTCCCGATCTCATTCATCAGCACTTGGCCATGTGGATCATGGCAACCAAGGTAGTCTGCCAATTTAGGAATCTCTGCCCATGTTACTGGACACCAAATACTAGTCTAGCAGCAAATGACTACTAGCAGGTCATTGTCAACATAATAAACCTATGATCCACAGGGAATAAGTTGTCGTGTGTGATAAACGGCAATGGTTCAGTAATACATAACATGGCCTCCAGTATCTACAATAGTCTGTGCTGTAAATATTATTTCTCTGTTTCGTATGAAGAGTTTGAGCATTCCTCACCCCTAGATGGTTTTCAACGTCTGTGAATCCCTTGCCAAGTAGCTGCTGTGAGATGAGTAAATTTATTTGAAAATGAACTCAGCCTTCTAGTCATTGAACAAGACTTTTAAAAACTATTATTATTGGATGTTTTGACAGAAGAGTAAGCAAAGGCAAACACAGAGAGTAAATAATAACCCAATGAAAAGAACTAATATTTTCCCTTTAGACTAGGGGAAATAGTAATTTTTAAATTTCATTTAATTTTATTTGCTTTTTGAGACAGGGTTTCTCTGTGTAGCTTTGGAGCCTATCCTGGCACTCGCTCTAGAGACCAGGCTGGCCTTGAACTCACAGAGATCCGCCTGCCTCTGCCTCCCTAGTGCTGGGATTAAAGGTGTGTGCCACTAATGCCCGGCTGCATCTTAAGATCTTATCTCAAAACAACAGCAAAATATGTTAATTAACAAATGGTGTGCATAGACTTAATTGAAATAGGTTCCTTCTACATTTAAAATATGGAATAGGAGCCAGGCAGTGGTAGCACATGCCTTTAATCCCAGCACTCGGGATGGCAGAGGCAGGTGGATCTCGAGACCAGCCTGGTCTACAAGAGCTAGTTCCAGGACAGCCTCCTGAAGCCACAGAGAAACCCTGTCTCAAAAAAACAAAACAAAACAAAAAAAATGGAATAGGTTTATGTACAGATTTCTTACATACAAATTTACTATTTGTTTAGATCATTGTTTAAAACCTGTTATTCTCTTACCATTTATCTCTAAAATCTTGTCTTGTTTGCTATTTTGGTTTTTCAAGACGGGGCCTCTATGTAGTCCTGGCTGTCCTGGAACTCACTATGTAGACCAGACTGCCCTAGAACTCAAGAGATCTGACTGTCCCTGCCTCCCAGTTGCTGGGATTAAAGGTGTGTGCCATTACCACCATGTCTTAGCTCTGAAATCTGATTATTGAAATCTGATTAAACCCTATCTCAAAAAAACAAAATAAATAAATAAAATTTGACTATAATGAATACTTGTGCTTCAAAAACACTAGGAGGTTGGTTTGTTTAAAATAGATTTTTAATTTAAAGAAAATGTCACTTTCTCTTCAGTAGATGGTTCAATAAAAATCACTACAGAGCTGAAAGTGAAGTTTATTGTGTTCAGTCTCTAGCACTGGAAAGTTGGAATCACACTGATATCACTCATTTATTAAGGGCCACACTAGCCATATATATTTATTTATTTATTTATTTTTGATTTTTGGAGACAGGGTTTCTCTGTGTAACAGCCCTAACTGTCCTGGAACTAGCTCTGTAGACTAGGCTGACCTCGAACTCACAGAGATCCACCTGCCTCTGCCTCCCGAGTGCTGGGGTTAAAGGCATTCGTCTCTACTGCCTGGCTCACACAGCCATACTTAAAGAGTATTATATAACCTTTAACAGATAAGCTTCCTGATAGAGTTACATGATTCAGGGAGTTCTTGGTGACTCCAGTTTTTTTGGAGGTTTTGGTTTTTGGTTTTTCAAGATAGTGTTTGTCTGCTTAGCCCTGACTATCCTAGAATTTGCTCTGTAGACTATGCTGGCCTCCAACTCAAAGATTAGCCTGCTTTTGTGGCCTGCCTTTGCTTCCTGAGTACTGGGATTAAAGTTGTGAGGCAACACTGCCCAGCTCTGGTGATTCCAGTTTTTAATTGACACCAGCTGAATTTTTGCCTCTTGTGAATTCTGTCAACTCCCTTTAGGTTTTACCTTTCTGCTGTTAACTTACAGGTGTAAAATACTAGACAGACATTTGGCAATACTGGCCAAAAAACATCTTGAAACCAAGTTTTTGAAGCTAAATGTGGAAAAGGCACCATTCCTCTGTGAGAGACTTCGGATCAAAGTCATCCCCACACTAGCACTCCTGAGAGACGGCAAGACGCAAGACTATGTTGTCGGATTCACCGACCTAGGAAATACAGATGACTTCAATACGGAAACTTTAGAGTGGAGACTTGGTTGTTCTGATGTTATCAATTACAGGTAACCTATTGCAAAAACAAACCAAAAAATAAGTGGTAGTTTTGAGATTTATTTCTTTATTTTGTATGTGAACGTTTATTTTGTTTTATTTTATGAGATTAAATCCTGTTGGCTAAGATGTAGACAGCTTGGGAAAAGCCCATTTCTTAAGGCATAGAACAATGTGATCTTATAGCGAAACCAAATTTACAGATAAAAATTGAGGTTTGGAGGCAGCCTAGAAGATTTCAACATAAGAAATGTTACTGAAACTAATTTTGGAAACCCAAAGTGACATTCCAGAACAGATTACCTTTAGGGGGTGGGAGGTTGTTTTTTATGGTGTTAGAGATTCAACACAGAGCCTTGCACATGCTAGGCAAGTTCTCTGTCACTGAGTTATACCCTAAGCCTTACCTCCACAACTTATGACTGACTTAAGTGGTTCTTTGTGATGAAATTAAAATATAAAACATACTGCTACAGAGGTCATACACTTTTGTAATTTCATGTTTGCAGTATGAGGTGAAACCTTATATAAATTAGCTGTGTGCCTCACTACCACACCACAGCAATAATCCTAGTCCCGAAAACCATGCTAAAATACAGGCTTTTTTTATAGGCATGTATATGTCACATGCCCAATCTGAAAATACAAAAGGTTCCCATAACTGGAGAATGGTCTTATTTGTGGGACAGTCTAAAATCCATTTTCCATTTTTTGAGCATGGCTTTGTCCCTTCCAAATTGAAAGTGCCACCTGTGTTTTGTGCCTATTTTTGCTTTAAAAAGAAAAAAGGGAAAGAGAAAGACAGACAAGGAAAATTGTGTCTTTCAAAGCAGAAAATCTCATCTTTTTCTCTCCTCTGCTTCCCCTCACTGCTCTGAGTCCCCACTACACATGAATGAATCGTCCTGTACTATGGAAGTCCATTTCTTTTTGTTAATATTAACATACATTAACATTTGTTCAACAAAATGTTACATTTTGAAATTATTTCAGACTTTTTTTTCTTTTGTTTGTTGTCTTTTGAGACAAGGTCTGACTCTACAGTCCAGTAATGTTAAGCCCCCTGCCTCAGCCTCCCAAGTGCTGGGATTACAGATGGGATCCACCATGCCCAACTTCGATTTCAGATTTCAATTAAGTTGCAAACTAGCAAAAGGAATTCTTACATAGTCTTTACTATATGCCCACATTTTAAATGTTTATGCCAGATACATAACAAAGTGTCTTCAGAACGATATGACTATACTTCTTTATTTCTGAATGTATATTTCCTAAGAATAAGGACATTTTCCTGAACCCAGTTCAGTTACTAAAATAGCAGTGATGTAGTTTATAGAACCTACTCAAATGTACCACCATCCTTTTATTCTCCATGTCTGAAAAATGTGTCACACTTAGTTATTGCATTTAGTTTCTGTAACAATTTCTAAATTACTTTTCAAGGTTATACTTTTCAAGTTTATACTTTTCAAGTATAAGCTAATTAATTTCTCAGGTGTTCCATAGTTCGGGTCTATGTGTGTATCTCAGCATGAGACTCAGGTCTTTGTATCAGGACTGGTTGCTACGGGAGGGAGTCAGTGCCTGCATTCTTAGTGCACCATCAGATGGTTTGTCTCTCTTTAGTGCTATGGCACTAGGTTGAATACTACCATGTCAGGTAGTAATTTGATAAGGAACTTTTGTATAATTTGTATTTATTTATTTGTCCATTTAGTGATTAGTCTGGGCTATGAATGATTTTATTCTGTGGGTTGTAGTCAGTAAGACTCTGTTATCCTTCGAACCCTCCCTCTGTGATCCAAGCAAAGTGCTTTAGGAAAGCTTATATTGTATTCTCTCTCTAAAATAAGCTGTATTTCTAAGAAGTTGTGCTTACTGTCAGTGGCAAATGGTAGTTTCTTCTTTCCTTTTTTTCATTTATTGACTGATTTATTTGCTGTTTATTTAGGGCAGGCTCTCACTATATAGTCCAAATAGTTCTCAAACTCACAGTCCTTCAACTTCAGTCTCCTGGCAACTGGAATGACAGGCATGTGGCACCATACCTTCCTAGCAAATGATGTTCCAAAACTAACATCTGGATGCCAGGTTCCCCAGACACATACACAAAACTATCTGATCATTTATTTCTCTAGCATCATTGAAAGGATTTTAAAAAAAAGAAAATTAAGTTTTATGCCAATTCCAGGCTGACAATAGTGCATTCCATGGGTTTTACCAGTGTGTGTAGAAATGTAAACATTGGGGTGCCACACAGGAAGAGTCCCAGCAAGAGCACAAACACAGCAGTGTAGCCTGTCATTATCATTAGTACGGGTTCAGCACAGGGTCAGTGCTTCCAAAACACTCTTCCCTATCTGCTTCGGAATGGTGAGGCTCCATCTCATCACCCCCAAATTGTTTATGATAATGATCATGATACACAAGAAACTCAAATGTTGATCTAATACAGTTAAGTGAGGTGTGAACTATTAATCTTTAATATTAATGCATTTTACAGTCTAGCATCCCAAGGGTATTAAATCATAAAAAATAAATGCTCTTGAACTTTGTTTCACTTTTAGTGGAAATTTAATGGAGCCACCGTTTCAGAGCCAAAAGAAATTTGGGACAAACTTCACAAAGCTGGAAAAGAAAACTATCCAAGGAAAGAAATACGATTCAGATTCTGATGATGACTAGACTGTGCCATACTTGTAAACCACCTGTCTGTCTGTCTGTCTGTCTGCTTACTTCAATGTTAAATGTTGTTTCTAAAGTCACTTGATTTAGGCCCATTGACCATCTAATATTTGAATCCTAGCGTTTACACTACTTCACCATATGGAAGGGCATCATAATTACTATTTTGTCTTTGGCCACCGTGTGTAACTTGAGAAACAGGTAATATAAGTTAGCTGGAAAGGGTCTGGATTCTCTATTTTTGTGATTGAGTTTATCATAACATAATTCTTCTATCTTTATACCACTCACACTTGTGTTTTTAATCTACTGAATTAGAAACAGAAATTCAGCCACCTATTCCAGGATTTACTGAGTGCTGTCTATGGAAAAGATTGGGTGGCATTTACTGGTGTACATGCGCTTGTCAGTGATTTCTCACGTCATTGGTGGAATGTGTTTCAGGAACCATTAAAGATTTGCCCATGTATTCTGGATGCCGCATGTTGAATGTGCTGATACCAGCAGAAAACTCAGATTATAAACACATTGATTGCCTTATGTAAAGGATCCTCATTGCTCATATGCTGAGACATGCACTAAAAAATAACTAAGAGACAGTTCTTGAGTGGCAGCATATGGAACTCCAATGGCTGCTCAGTGAAACAGTTTTACCATAGGTAAAAGTTATTTTTTAAAAGTGTGACTCTGGAAATGACTGTATTTGGTAAGAGCACACAGCAACACAAACAAAAAAAAAGAAGTCTTGAAGAAAGATTGATCTTCAGTGGCGAACAAATTCTTAGGTTTGGTGCCCAGAAATAAATAAGTTTTGGTAAGAACAGCAAGTGTGGCGTCTAATGAGATGGTTCAGTGTAGAAAGGCACTGACCACAAAACTTAAGGACCTGAGTTCAATCCCCAGGATCCACTTGGAAGGAGGGAAATGGTTCCTGCAAGTTGTCATGTAACATATTCACATAATTCCAGTAAATACAAGTTGAATTTAAAAGGGTGGCTTGGGGTTTGGAAACAATGTAAAGCAGGAAAGAAGGGGGGAAAGGTAGAACAAACATTAACAAATTGAAAATGACATAAAGGGGTTGGCTCAGCAGTTAAGAGCACTTGTGTTGGAATCCTAGCACCCACATGGTGGTCACAGCCATGCACTAGCTCCAGTTCCGGGGGCATCTAATGCCACCTGCTGACCTCCATGGGCTCCAAGCACACATGTGCACATACATACATTCAGACAAGATGTGTATATGTAAACTGAGGTGGATCTAATTTTTAAAATACATAAAAATCTAGTTCTTTGAAAGCAACACACCTGTTCTGAGCAGTTGAGAGGAAAGACATAGCAGAAAAGATTCAAGTAAAATTGAAATGCTGATTATGAACATCTCTATACCAATAAATTTTAAAAAACAAATTCCTAGAAAGACCAACTAAAAAAGTACCTAAGAAGAAATAAAAATTTGAGTAGGTATCTAGAGAGATGGCTCAATGGTTAAGAGCACACATAACTGCTCTTGCAGAGAACTCAGGTTTGGTTCCTAACACCCATGTCACTGGTACCTCAAAACCACTCGTAACTCAAGCTCCAAACGGTTCTGGTGCCCTTTTCTAGCCTCTGCGGGCACCTGCACAGACAAGTGCAGACTCAGACATACATAAAGGAAAACCTTTTTTTTTTTTTTTTTTTTTTTTTTTTTTTTTTTTTTTTTCTTTTTTTCAATTTGGGCAGAACTAAAACTGATAGGGACTTTATCCCTAACACCAGATGACTATATTGATAATTCAGCAAAACATTTTTTTAAAGAATAATTAACATCAGGTTTCACAAATTTTAAAACTAAAGCATGAGGGATGACTATCTCCTGCTCTTGGGCTAGTATTAAGCTAACACCAGAGCCAGACTGCAACATCAAAAAATTAGAGACCAATGACTTTTCTGAATACTCAAAAATACTAACAAACTGAAACCCAGCAGCATAAGAAAACAAGATTGCATCTTATAATCACACTCACATATACATATACCCAAATACAGACATAAACACACATAATTAGAAATAAGTCTTAATGAGCAGACTCTTGGGTTTTTTGAGACAGGATTTTTTTGTATATACTTGGTTGTCTTGTAACTAATTCAGTAACCCAGGCTGGCCTCAAACTCAAGAGATCTGCCTCCTCAGTGTTGGGATTAAAAGCATGCACCACCACTGCCTGATAAATCTTTTTAAAAATCAATGTAATTTGTCCTGTAGGTGCAATTGGGAAGCAAGTAGGAACGGCTACCCTGACAGAGCAAACCTAAAGCAAAATCAGAGACAAAAAGGTCACAACAGGCTCTGCGGTAGACAGTAGACCCAAAGCTGTCTCTGACGCATCAAAGAAGAGTGAGAAGAAAAGTAGTCTATATTCTAAAGATAAAGATGGGGAGCAATTCAGAAACCCACAAAGGAAGTATGAAAGCATGTCAAAAAGGTCTAGTGAGAGAAAAGCCAACCCAAGCATATGTGTGACTCAGTGGCAAGAGGTTATGTCAGGTAAGAGGGTCAGTCCTGGTGAAGAGACCAGCAGCAGCACTACCTCCGGGGAAGCCCACAGCTCTCAGACCCAGTTGTGGGCTTTAATGAGACCCTGGTTCCTCCAGCAGACAGATCTGCAGTAGAGGGGACTCCCATTTCTGTCACTCTGTGACTCAGTAGGCAGGATCCAGGCACCGTCTTGACAGGGAACTGAACTACACTGGAAGCCTGAGCATGGAGAACAACCACACAATGGCGAGCCCAAGTTTAGTTAGCTATGATTTGGTTCAATAATGACAGACAACCCTGGGAGGAGGCTATGTAGAATGGGGGTGGGGGGGTGCTCTCTACATGCTGACAGCTAACAGTACAAGAAACAGAAGTTAGGGCAGTACAGTGCACAGGACAAAAGTCCTGCCCTGGTTGCAAGGATCCGATCACATCAACTGAAAATAAACCTGGAGTTGTGTAGCCTATGCCTGTGGTCAGCAGGTGGACACAGATGCTATCTATCTAGGTAGCAGTATTGCTGCAAAACCTGGAGACTGAAGCTCCAGCAGGCAAGCTCCCACAGCAAAATGAGTGAAAATACAGAGTCAAAGAACATGGTATCTTGGTTGCTTCCATACTCCCGGTGCCTTGGAGACATCCATTTGTGAAGCCAGGATCTGGGGAGGGAAAGTGATGACAGACTATCAGCCCACAGACTGCAAAGCTAAGTATGGCCAGTAGAGGACCCTACTGCACAAAGAAGGGAAGCTACTAAAGTAGAGAGGTCCTACGGACAGACTTCAGACACTTGAAGAACCATAGAAAAGAGCCCTCCAGTTCAGCAGCCCTCACTCCCACACACAGGAGCAGCAGGCACCATCTCTTAGGCCCTGAAAGAAGGTCCCTTGACTCTTCATCCTTACTTGACCTCCTGGCCTTCCCTTGTGTTTGTTCTTAAACTCATAGAAGTTCTTTTACTTATCCTATTTCTTAATGTTTTGTGTTATTTCTTCTTTTTTAGTTCTTCATGGAGTCGTCCAATTTTGATTATGCATTTTTTTTTCACTAATAGGCAATCCTTTTTTTCTTTGTTCCTCTCAACTAGACTCTCAGAAGTATGCTGACTTAGTCTTGCTGGGGATACTCTTTAGTCTGTTGTTTTTAAAATTCTTGTTTTTATTTTGTACTCCCTTTTTCTGAAGGGAGAGGTTGGGACAGTTTCATGCTATGTAGCTCCATATAGACCAGGTTGGCCTTGAACTCAGAGATCTGCCTTTCGAATTCTGGAACTAAACATGCTGCCACCATGCCCACTTATCTAATTTTGTTTTTGAATGCTATCATTATTGCAAACTCTAGGCTTTTATTATTGTTTTTTCTCTTCCAGTTTTTCTCTTTTCCCTTCAACATTCTTCTCTTTTCTTCTTTTGCTTTCATTCACTTAATATTACTTCTCTATTTCCCCTTTTCCCTGCCTTCTTCCTTTATCTCATCTATTTGCTATTGCCACATTTAACCTAAATTATTTTTAACTTCATAACATCCTATATTACTTTTTCTCATTCTCTGTTTTAATGGTCACATGTGATATATTAATGCACTTTAAGTTATTTTAGGTGTATTTCTGTATGTGGTACTTTTGCTGTTATAATCGTTTGTTTTCTCCACACTGGGTAGTACTAGAGATTGAGTCCCAAGAATGGGTTGCTTACTAAAATTTGCAAATAAAACCAAAAGAGCTAACCAAACCAAAGATATATAAATTTCATCACAGAAACACCAGAAATATGGGAGAGATGGGGAAAGCAAGGCAACATGGTTACCACCAAGGTGAAAGATTTATATTTCAGTTTTTTTAAACTGTGTGTGTGTGTGTGTGTGTGTGTGTGTGTACCACAGCACATGTGTGGAGGTCAGAGAAAAACTTGCAGGAGTTGGTTCTCTCCTTCCACTGTGTGGGTTCTGAGGGTTGAACTCAGGCCATGAAAGGTTGGGACAGTGGGTAAAGGCACCTGCTGCCATTGCCAGACAACCTGAGCTTGATCCCCAAAACTCAGGCAAACACTGGGGTGGTAGCACTAAGCAGCAATCCCAGTGCGCCCCTAGGATAAAAGGCAGACAGGAGACTCTACCAAAGCTTGTGGTCCAACTAGCTTCTGCACACTGTAATGAAGAACCTTTCCCCAAACAAGGCAGAAAGGGAGCGGCCAAACCCCAAAGGTTGTCTTCTGACTGCCACACAAGTAGGCACATACACATCACATCCTCACATCCACACACAGGAACGTGTGTATGCATGCACACACAAAAGGTTTCTTAGCCCCTGAGGCAAAAACAAAACAAAACAAAAAAACAAAGCCAGCATCCTGATACCAAAACTGGTTAAGGACACAACAACCAAAGAAATTATAGGTCAACTTCCTTAAACATAGGCAGAAAAATAATCCTCCATAAAATGCATGCAAATCATGTTCAAGAGCATCTTAAGATCACAAGCCATCACCATGCTGGTTTCATCTGAGGGTTGAAAGGTTGTTTAAACATAAAATCAAATGTTATGCCCCATGGGCCTGAAGAAATAGTTCAGTGGTTGAGTGTATATCCTCTTAGAGAGGATCTCTTCTTTGGCTCCCAGCACCCATATCAGGTGACTCAAAACAACCACTTATAACTCTAGTTCCAGGGGATGTGACACCTTCTGGAACTCAGAGGACACCTGCATGTATATGGTGCACATAAATTCACGCAGTCCCCCACACAGAGACATAAATATTTAAAAAATTGAAAATTGTTAGTCCACACATAAACAGACTTAAAAGACAAAAATCATATAATCATCTCCATAAACACAAGAGAGGCCTTTGACAGAGTTCAACATCCTTTCCTGATTAAAAAAGACCCTAGGAACAGAAGGAACATAATGACATAATAAAGGTGTGTGAAAAACTTACAACCAACAAGGAAAAAATGAAAGTTTTCTCTAAAACCAGGAATGAGACAAGTGTCGCTGTTCTCATTGAATATGGTGCTTGAATTTTAGCTAAAGCAATAAGACAAGAGATAGAAATAAAAGGAGACAAAACAGAAGGAAGGAATCAAGTCACTCTTGTTTGAAGACATGATCTGATGCTGAAGAGATTGGAACTCTCTTGGAACTTGCAGATGCTCTTAGGAAAGTAAAAAGATACAAAGCCAACATACAAAAACCAGTGGCCTTCCTATCTACCTGATGAAAACTTTCTGAGAAATAAAGAAATGAATTTTAAGTTACAGTAATTGTCAAATAGTTTTTTGTTTGTTTTTGTTTTTTGTTTTTTT